TTGGATATAAAGTCCAGCCATGGAGTCCATGCTTGCATGTATCGTTCAGCGGTCCCACGTAGGGAGGCAGTGAGTGTCTCCATTTCATGTAGGTCCTCAATCTTGTCCATCCAGTTTTGCATTGTGTGCCACCAAATCGGGATGAGGGACTTGGTGGCATTCAAGAGGTATCTGGTAAGTGAGCGCTTATATGCTGGTAGGGGGAGTATTGTGTAATGTAGCAGCATAGGTATGGACTGGAGTGGTAGGTCCATATTAATAATCTTCCCATGAATATGTTGCCAGTATGGTTTTATTTTGGCACATGACCACCAGATATGTATGTCAGTTCTGACGTCACTCCCACATGTCCAGCAGGTATCTGCCCCATCGGGCGGAGGTTCTGTACCTTGTAATTAAATTCTTGTAATTTTGTACTTACCATTCCTTGATGAGCTAGTGTGTGGATTTTTTCCAATTGCCAATCAGTGATCATAGTTTCTGTGTCTTGTTCCCATCACTCCATATATCTCGGGTCGCCCTCTTGGTGGATGTAAGGAGCGTTGAGTAGAGGACCATGATCACCTTCAGTAGTCGTACTCTGTCCGTGCACAGTCTTTCGAAGGAGGTCAGCTCCCTGTGCAAAAGGTGTTTCCCTGGGATAGATGAGTAGTATCTTCATATGTGATGGTGTATAAATATCTGTAGGTTACGCCCTCTGGGATGAGGTCTTGGAGGTTTCTAAAGCCTGCATCAATGCACCATTGTCGCAGATACAGCCAGTATGTTTAGCCAAATCCTGCCATGTCCTTGGTTGTGATGCCTCCTGCCACTTCCGGGTCTCCCCCTAATTTGGGCCCTCTCCAGCTTGACCCAGAGTTTGTGTGAGTTTTTCGTGTGCCAGTCTGTTAGCCTCAGGAGGTGGGCTGCTTGATAGTATAGTAGGATGGATGGTAGTTAAACGCCTCCCAACTGTTTAGATAGGGCCAGTTCCCCATGGCTTTCTTATTGACAATGGCTATTTCACATTTCTTCTAGGACTTTGGGCTCTATATAATCCACAACTCTGGAAGTCCTAGCTCTTTGTTGTCATTGATATTTTATGGACCTTGTTCTCAGCTAAATTTTGCAGGTAATGTTTCTCTCTTTTGCCTCCTCGAGCTCACTTAAAGGGACACTATAGTCACCAGAACAACTACTACTTAATGTAGTTGTTAAAGTGTGAATAGTATGTCACTGCAGGCTTCTTAATGTAAACGCTGTCTTTTCAAAATAATGCAGTGTTTACATCACTGCCAAGGGACACCTCCAGTGGCAGTCACTCAGATGGCAACTAGAGGTGCTTCCTGGGTCAGTGTCTCCATGTGTCTCTATGGGGAGATGCTGATTGGTGCAGAGAAGCAATTTGTTGCGTATGTGAAGTAGCCTCCCAATGCTTTTCTCTGGGAAAGCACTGGATTGTCGAGACCCTTATGGCGCTGGAAAAAAGTATGTTTTATACCTTTTTAATGGTGGCAAGGGGGGGCGTTGGGGAAACCGCCTAAAATATTTTCATACTAAAGTGTCAGGTATACATGTTTGTATTCCTGACACTATAGTGTTCATTTAATTGTGTTTTTTGAGTTTTTGTATACTTTTTCTTTTGCATTGCTCACTGATATTATATGATTTTTATACCTATATCCTACTTAAGTTAAGCAACAAGATGTGCCATTTTTCAGACTCAGCGAGAGTTACTATCAGGTCTTTGTGTTGCACAAATGTGTGTTTTTCCTTGACCAACTTCATTTATCTGCTTTTTATCTTGTAAAGTTACATAATGAAAAAATTATTGAAATAAAATTAATAATTCTGAATAAGTTCTGCTTCTATTTTCTCTAGTGTGCTGCTTAATTGACTGCACTAAAGTATCTATGTGCTGTCTAAATGTATGCTTTCAGCAGACAAAGGACCCAGCACTTAAAATTATGTAAGGGAAGTGGGCAAGGAGTGATATATATGATATTGAGCAAAGCATTTTATTACATTATACAATATGATTTTATTGAGTTTAGGTTGAAAAATGTACAGCTGACTTAATAGTAGTGACTGGTTGGATTCTTCAATGATACATTTTATTAGTAGTATCACGCAGTTGACACTTCAGGCAATGGAAGGATTAGTTCTGTCTAAATGATACATAGTAGAGATTGCTTTCACCATCTGCATCATCTGTTATCAATGTAGGAAAAGAAATATAGCAGAGAGGGTGGCTAGAAGCACTTAGTAAATTTTGCATTTAAATTAGCTGTTTAACTAGAGAAAGATATGATCACTAAGCAAGCAACATGGCAATGTGGTGTCCAGGTCTGTCTATGGACTATTCTGAAGTTATTCAATATTTCCTATAATCTAGAACCACACATTACTGAAATTGGGGGACTCGAGCAACCTAAAGGGACATTGTAAATATAATTTTTAGATGTGGAAACAATTCATAAAAAAAAGGTATCTGGTAAAATATTTCAAACAAAAATTTAAAAAAAGATTTACTTTCATATAAACGAATGTTTCATATTTTGTGTATTTTATTATTGCTTCAGATTAGGAAATTGTACAAAGAAAATTATATAAAATCTCTTTATTTATTATTTCCTGTTTATTGCTCGTTGTTCTTTTTAGCAGAAGGCATAGAAAAAAGAAGGCAACAATACAATAACACAAATATTGAATGTACACTATAGCAAACAAAATTAATATTATACTGGGGTATTCCAGATGGGTACATAAATAGTATACCCGATTATATATTAGCATAAAGAGAACGAGAAAAGATTGATGGTTTTTGAGCCATATATTAAGAAATACCATGTTTCGTTTTTTTCAAATTACCTAAATTTATACACTGCATTTAATTTTCTGTTTATCAAAGAATTAAGAGGATGATCTGGAAGATAACTGTATAAGGTTGACTCTGCCTATCTATATCATCAATCCCTCACAGAGGCAAAAATGCAACTTCACAAAATCATTGCATTCTAGTTAGACTTTCTGAAGAAGTAGTAGTGATGAATGAGAATATTTTTTTCCCCAAAACAGGTTACATTAGCTTGCAGTAATATAGACCTCAATTTAATAAGCTTTCCAAATTATTTAATACTGTTAAAAAAACTTCCCAAATTATTTAACTACAAAAATCTCCATATACTTTAATACTGACTTCTGCAGATAACATTTTTTCTGACAGTATTGAATAATTAAAAAAGCTTATTAAATGAAGACCATCATTTTTTAAAATGACATTTTTTTTTAAAAAAGCACACATTTTCAAGCATATTTGCTCCTGCCATACATCCAAAAGAAGGCAAAAGAATAACCCTTGAATCCAATCTACTCTAACAGCTCTGATGCTTCAAGACATGGACTCCACAAGATCTTTGTACGTGTTCTGTGGTATCTGGCACCAAGATATTAGCAGCAGATCCTTTAAGTCCTGCAAATTGTGAGGTGGGGCCTCCAATGATCAGATTTGTTGTTCCAGTACATACCACAGATGCTTAATCAGATTGAGATCTGGGGAATTTGTAGGTCAAGACATGACCTCAAACCATTCAATTTGCCATAGTACAGTGCAGTGAAGAGTTGTACATGGACTACAACAATCTCTAGTTAGGTGGCACATGTCAAAGTAACATCTTCAAGAATGTCAGGCCTCAAGGTTTTGCAAGCGGATCAATGCCCAGGACATAACACTACCTCTGCCAGCCACCCTGTTATCCATAGATCATCTTACTGCCATCTCTTCCCAAAGTAAACTATGCACATTAACCTGATCTGAAGAAAATGGGATTCATCATACCAGGCAACTTTCTTCCAATACTCCATGGTCCAGTTGTGATGCGCACATCCCATTGAATGCACTTTTGGCAGTGAACAGAGGTCATCATGTGCGCTTTGACTGGTCTGTGATTATGCAACCTCAAATGCAAAGCACTGTGTGTTCTTACAGCTTTCTATCATGGCCAGCAAAAAGTTTTCAGCAATTTGAGTTACAGTAGCTCTTCAATATGATCAGACTAAATGGACCAGCATTTGCTTCCTACATGCATCAATGAGCCTTGGTTGTTCATGACCTTGATGCCAGTTCACTGGTTGTTCTTTCTTGCATCACTTTTGGTAGGTACCAACCACTGCATACTGGGAACACTCAACAAGATTGTCCATTTTGGAGATGCTCTGACACAGTCATTCAGCTCTCATCACTATTAGTTGTCACTATTTGTGAAACCCACTCAGATTGTTTCACTTGCTCATTTATCCTGCTTCCAACACATGAAATTCAAGATACAATAAAACAAAGATAAGTGCTCTCTATCTGATAGTAGCTGCAATTCGCCAACAAGGAATTCCCTCAACCTTGTGAAAAACAAATCAAAGCAAATAAAGACAATTAGGTGAACAGCGATAAATGTATGGACTACATAAGTAAAAGGTGAGAGCGATATTCAAAGGTGTATATCTTCAAATAAAAACGACACGATGATAGTGCAATATATAGTAACAATTTAACTTATATACCTTAGCCCCCATAGCTTTGCTGGGGTCCCGCTGTCCTCCACCCACCCTGGACCCAAGCCCAGGATCCAGCTTCCAGTGGGTGGACCTCTCCTACTCCAGAGAGTCTAGCAGGTATAGCTGTGTAGCTCTTACAAGAGCTAGTGATTATTGCCAGTTTAGCAATCCGAAACCGGTATAGCTGTTCCCTACAATCACTAGATGAGACTGTGTGTTGAGGGTGAAGTGAACTGACTTTAATAGGACCACCCTTGGCCTTTTATGACAGTCCCCAGGTAAGGGGCACTCCCCCCTTGACTTTAGAGTAAACCACAGTAGAAACAAATACACAATCACATTGGCCTTTAGATCCAGGACACTCTCATACAAACTAGGTCAATCCCTCCTCTGTACCTGAGCAATAATTGAGTCAAGTACTGTATTAACTCAATTATCTCCAGACACAAAAACACACATTTTTATAAAACCCCAAAAATACCTTTAAAACCCTTTTGGCAGAAGGCTGGTAAGCAGGTCCCTCTAAAAGCCTGGATGGGGCCTGCTTGCCAGCCACCTGCCAAAAGGGTTTTAAAGGTATTTTTGAGGTTTTATAAAATTATATGTCTCTTTCCTTGAGAAATATATTAAGGACAATTTAATCCCAAGAGGTCTACGTCTTAAAAAAATACCGGCCAATGGCTTAGAACATTGATTCATGCTACAAAATGGGATTTAGCATTGCTCCTTCATACTTATGGAAATTACAGTAGACTTTGAAAAAGATAATCTCAATAATTTGACATAAGATATGGAAAAAGTTGTAAAAGATTTTAACATAGACAGGGAAAGTTAAGAATTCAGAAGAAAAGGGAATATCTTATTTGAAAAAGTAAATAAAATAAATGAAAAGATAGCTGAAATGAAAAATTAAAAATATAATAGAGACAAAAATTATAGAGAAACTATTTTCCATTCAATAACTAAAATAACAACTATAATTTTTTCCTAGAAAATAGAGTGGATATAATCTCCCCAAACCAAATAGGAGATATAACCATAGTAGAGAGAGGATTTTAAGTATTAATGCCAATTAAACCAATTCACCCCATACAAACTGGTTATTGACCAAAACGAATAAAAAGAAACCCCTAAAGAAATTCCACCAAAAAACAACCAAGGGGCAAATACAGAGAGAATAAGAGAGCATGGGCAGAGATTTAAAACCACAGGTAACCGTGACAAGTTTTTAGATTCAGACCCAAACTACATGAAAAGGAAAGAAACAGCCCAATTTTTTTCCCCCAAATTACCCAGGATAGATCTCACAAACCAATTTGCCTCACTCATAGATTTGAATTCCCCAGGGAAGAGAAGGAGAGTGAGTGGAGAGAGGTTAGAGGACAACTAAATCAATTAGCTTTAAGTAAAGGTATCTTCATTATTACAGGAGCTAAGTTAATCCTTGATGAAACTTGCGTTTTGGAAAAGGGACTTAAAATGTGCCCCTAATGTCTTGGCAAATTCCTTTAATTTATTCATTGATGTGAATAAATTTATTCGAAAATTATCTTTGAAAAGATTTTTCAAAAAGAAAGAAACTGAGGGCTATTTGAAACCACAACTCAATGTGGCGACAAATGAACATTTGAGGATACCTTTTAAAGCAAAGTCCACTTTTTGCCTTATGAGAAAGGCAGTCAACTTGAAGCCTTTTCAAAAATGGTAATTAGAGATATAGAAAAAAATTACCCATAAGATAACTAATTTTAATCTTATGCAGAAAGAAAATGAAATTTTTAAAAAATTGAAAAACAAAAAAGACATTATGATTAAAAATGCAGATAAGGGAGGTGGTATAGTGATCATGCCCACTGATTACTATTTAGAAGAGGACTACTGACTTCTTGATGATGTTTGTACCTATAACAAACTTAAAGAGAATCCTAATAATTATTTTTAACAATAAACTGAAGGAATTCCTTACAAAATATTTGGATAATGAAGTTTTAGCATTAATTTTTAGACTTCCCCAGGATTCCTAAAAAATTTTTTTTTTTTTTTTTACCAAAGGTACACAAGTCTGTTACACAACCACCAGGTAGACACATCATCAGTGAGGTTAATTCTTTGACGTTAAGGTTGTCCGAGTATAGATGCTTCTCTCCAAAAATATGCACAAAATGCGAGATCATATCTTAAAGATACTGAAAGTCTTTCATACTCAGGAGCTAGATAGCATAGAATATAGAGAGGGTTATTTTTGGGAAACCTTTTACGTCACCTCCCTTTATACGATTACTGAACATGAAAAGGGTATTTATTTATTTATTTATTTATAAAATATTTTACCAGGATATACAGGGAGTGCAGAATTATTAGGCAAGTTGTATTTTTGAGGATTAATTTTATTATTGAACAACAACCATGTTCTCAATGAACCCAAAAAACTCATTAATATCAAAGCTGAATATTTTTGGAAGTAGTTTTTAGTTTGTTTTTAGTTATAGCTATGTTAGGGGGATATCTGTGTGTGCAGGTGACTATTACTGTGCATAATTATTAGGCAACTTAACAAAAAACAAATATATACCCATTTCAATTATTTATTATTACCAGTGAAACCAATATAACATCTCAACATTCACAAATATACATTTCTGACATTCAAAAACAAAACAAAAACAAATCAGTGACCAATATAGCCACCTTTCTTTGCAAGGACACTCAAAAGCCTGCCATCCATGGATTCTGTCAGTGTTTTGATCTGTTCACCATCAACATTGCGTGCAGCAGCAACCACAGCCTCCTAGACACTGTTCAGAGAGGTGTACTGTTTTCCCTCCTTGTAAATCTCACATTTGATGATGGACCACAGGTTCTCAATGGGGTTCAGATCAGGTGAACAAGGAGGCCATGTCATTAGATTTTCTTCTTTTATACCCTTTCTTGCCAGCCACGCTGTGGAGTACTTGGACGCGTGTGATGGAGCATTGTCCTGCATGAAAATCATGTTTTTCTTGAAGGATGCAGACTTCTTCCTGTACCACTGCTTGAAGAAGGTGTCTTCCAGGAACTGGCAGTAGGACTGGGAGTTGAGCTTGACTCCATCCTCAACCCGAAAAGGCCCCACAAGCTCATCTTTGATGATACCAGCCCAAACCAGTACTCCACCTCCACCTTGCTGGCGTCTGAGTCGGACTGGAGCTCTCTGCCCTTTACCAATCCAGCCACGGGCCCATCCATCTGGCCCATCAAGACTCACTCTCATTTCATCAGTCCATAAAACCTTAGAAAAATCAGTCTTGAGATATTTCTTGGCCCAGTCTTGACGTTTCAGCTTGTGTGTCTTGTTCAGTGGTGGTCGTCTTTCAGCCTTTCTTACCTTGGCCATGTCTCTGAGTATTGCACACCTTGTGCTTTTGGGCACTCCAGTGATGTTGCAGCTCTGAAATATGGCCAAACTGGTGGCAAGTGGCATCGTGGCAGCTGCACGCTTGACTTTTCTCAGTTCATGGGCAGTTATTTTGCGCCTTGGTTTTTCCACACGCTTCTTGCGACCCTGTTGACTATTTTGAATGAAACGCTTGATTGTTCGATGATCACGCTTCAGAAGCTTTGCAATTTTAAGAGTGCTGCATCCCTCTGCAAGATATCTCACTATTTTTGACTTTTCTGAGCCTGTCAAGTCCTTCTTTTGACCCATTTTGCCAAAGGAAAGGAAGTTGCCTAATAATTATGCACACCTGATATAGGGTGTTGATGTCATTAGACCACACCCCTTCTCATTACAGAGATGCACATCACCTAATATGCTTAATTGGTAGTAGGCTTTCGAGCCTATACAGCTTGGAGTAAGACAACATGCATAAAGAGGATGATGTGGTCAAAATACTCATTTGCCTAATAATTCTGCACTCCCTGTACATTGAGATTTATCTTGTTTTTAAGCATGTCCTGATATGATGGCAGTCAAATAAGTTTTAGAGCAAGATAGTAATATTTATCCCTTTTTTAGACAATTTTTATTAGAAGGCATTAAGTTTATTTTAACTTTTTTTATTTTTAATGACAAATTATTTCTCCAAGTTAAAGGGAGCGCTATGGACAAACATTTTTATGGATAGTTGGGAATCACATAACATATGGTCCAGCAATCCTTTAGGCGCAGACTTGGCGCTCTGGCATAGGTACATAGATGACATTTCAATCATTTAGAAAGGCTCTGTAGAAGAACCAAACAGGCTCTGGCCTATCAGGAGTCACAGTGAAACTTCAGATATCTGCTAATATGAAAAGGTGCTCCTTCTACCTCACCCAGCACTATTTAGTGTTTATTTCTCTGGCTCTGCCTCTTCCTACCCAGCCTCTCTCTGTTGGTGTCCCAAGGTTCAGTCCTTGGTTCCCTACTGTTCTCGATCTACACTGCCTCCCTTGGTAAACTCATCAACTCCTTTGGCTTCAGATATCACTTCTATGTAGATGACACGCAAATCTATCTGTCCTCCCCTGATCTCTCCCTGCCCCTCTTGACTAATGTCTCTGACTGCCCCTCTGCTATTTCTAGCTGGATGGCTGCCCACTTCCTTAAGCTCAACTTGTCCAAAACAGAACTGGTCTTTGTTTCCTCAAGTGTTGCTACTCCCATCTTTGTCTCCCTCTACATTAATGGTGCTACCATCAGCTCCACCACGAAAGCTCACAGCCTGGGTGTTCTCTTTGACTCCAACGTCTCCTTCAACCCTCATGTCCAGTCGATCGCCAAATCCTGCGGCTTCAATCTCAAAAACATTGGCGCATCCGCCCCTACCTAACGCAAGATGCGGCTAAGGTGCTGGTTCATGCCACTGTCCTCTCTCGCCTTGACTACTGCAATCCGGTTCTCAGTGGTCTTACGTGCTCCCATTGCAGTCTATAAAGAATGCGGTGGCGAGGCTCATCTTCTTGTACGCCTGAACCTCCCATGCCTCACCCCTCTGTCAGTCAAGATATAGGGCTCAATTCAAAATTCTGGTTCTTGCTTTCAAATCTTGCTTTCAAATCTATCTATCCTCCCTAATACACAAGTATGTTCCATCTATGCCCCTGCGCTCTGCCGAAGACCTGCGTCTATCGTCTGTTCATACTCCCACCTCTGATGCTCGCATTCAAAATTTCTCTAGGGCTGCACTGTTCCTGTGGAACTCCCTTCTATTCTCTGTTAGACGCTCACCCAGTCTCCACTACTTAAAAACATTTATAAAAAACTAACTTTTTCACAAAAGCATATCAATTAAACTGTTAATGGTTCCAAAAAAAAAAACACACTAAGTCTTCAGTGAATACTATTCTACCTATCTACTTCCCTAATTCTTCTCTTACCTTTTGTGTCACTTTACCCCACTCGCTCTAGCATGCAAACTCATTAAGCAGGGCCCTCAACCCCCCTGTTTCTGTGCGTCAAACTTGTCTGGTTACAATTACATGTAAAGCACTATGGAATTTGTTGGCGCTATATAAATATAATAATAATAATAATAATAATAAGACAATCCTCAATTTATTCATTGCAGCAAGTAGAGGAAGTGATCTCAGGTTACTTCCTCCCAGCATATGTGAATGGGAATCC